GGTACATACCCATGAGGGTACACTGTCTGACCTGGCAAGAATCAAGGAAGCATTTGAATCCATAAGAAAAGAAAATTTTGCAAGAAAGGTGATCTTGATTTGCACAGATGAGAGCTTTCCTAACACATTCCTCCCCTCCCCCCAAGAAAAGTTGGTGCCTTTCTATTTCCTTCCCATCACTTAAACACAAATCCGCAGAGCTGCCTTACCATTCCCGCGCTCAGAGAGAGATGGGACTTTGCTCGGCGGGGTCCAAGGTCCACCGCACGCAGCCACACCTATTCCTCCAAGCAACCTGGGCGCAACACGGTGTCTGCCAGAACCACGCTGGCTGCTGCCTTTGCCGAGCTCAACGTCGCGGTGAAGTCAGATGTACAGAGAGCCCCGTTTCCTCTCTGTACTGCCGTGACTTATGTAAAATGCAGTTCCTGAATAGGGACACCGAAATAGAAATTGTTTGCCGCTTAAACGACATCCTGCTCTTGTTTCAGATGTTACAACCAGGCCAGCTAATACCGCCTGGAAATATGTCCGCTTTACATCTCCCTCTTTTCCTATGAGCTGCTTGAAGCTCAGACTGTAGCCTGCACAGATTAAAATACCACACACTATACCAAAGAATTACTGAAAACACTTGCTCGGGTCAAACTCTCCCATTTCAGTAAAATGCCACCCCAAGAGCTGAACAACTCATCGCTGTGACAGCCTGTGGGATCCTGATTTACAGCTAAGCCGAACTTGCCCTGATTTGCTAGCGTTCCTTCCACCACGCGTGACTGCAAGGGCCCAGGTAGCTATCTATTCTCCATCTCGCCCTTTTCACTGAAGGACACTGGAAATAAAGAGCATCAACTCATCTCAGACCTGAAAGAATCATTGGGATTGCCTCCCCACCGGCTTGGTTACATCTGTGGGCTCCACTCCTCTTCAGAAGGATGTAGCAGTAGTTAATTTACCTTAATTTCAAAAATCCACGCTGAGCACCTTAAATGTAACCAGCAACTTCAAGAGCAGCACCAGAGCCTCCTTCACGTGCCAGTGCATGAAGAACAGGGCCAAAGAGTCAGTTCTCCCAATCTAATAACCTAAAAAGACAGCTCTCCAAATTTTTCTGGTGGCTTTAAATACACTAAACATCCTCCATGCAACGTGCCAGCATATTCAGGCAAGCCTTCCCATTCACTTTTCCCCAGTTTTCCAATCCTAAACAATTTCATCCAGCTGGCTTTCCACATGATTCCCACAGTCCTGCCTAAAACAAGTCAAGGTTGAAAACAGTGGTCTGGTAAAAAAAAAAAAAAACCAAAACAGAACAGTTTGGAGTTTTGGAGTTCTGTAACATTGCAAAGGGACCCAGATCATTTGCCATGCCTCACATTGCATATCCAGCCAGGGCATGCTTCGTCTTCCCCATGATTCACATTCAGACAGTAGCCCCATGTTTAATATCACATTTCTTAACATATTGGGGTTCCAGCTGGTGCTGCTGCGGGACTCCAGCATCACTGACTGTGCACCATGCACTTCACGGAGAGAGAGTGGAGACAGGCACCAAAGCACTGCTCCCCTAAGCGCAACAGACACACATCCCTTGGGATATCGCCCCAGGGATCCTTCTGACTCCAGGCACGCCTTCGGCTTGAATCACCTGCCTGAGATTTGACATGCAGATCTGGTTACCTTCCTAAAGTGCAAGGGGCAGGGAGGTTTTGAGACGGGGAGAAGGCCAGTGGGACGCAAGAGCTGCCAGACTTTCACTTGCTCCTTTCCAGTGGCCATCACACGCACGGCCTGTTGGCAGCAGTGGAGGATGCTGGAAGGCATCTGTCCCCTGTGCAGAGACCCTATCACAAGAAGCGCCTGCTCTGCGGCCCCTTCACAAAGGTTTCTCAGTTTTGCTGTGCTGGCAGGAGAGGGTCACTCCTTCTCAGCACAGAAGACAGGACTTGAACAGATAACAGAGATGCTGAGCTTTATAAATCATGCAAAAGGGGAAGGAAGCAGAGGAGAACAGAGAACACACACACATCACCACAAACCAAACCGCGCTCCAGAAGTCTGGTGATAATGTCATCAGGACATCCCCTCCCAAAATAAAACTGTGGAACTAATGCATGGCAGAGAGAAAAGCCAGACTGCATTACAGCATCAAACACAACACATGGCTGGGCATAATTATTACACAAGAGGAAGCACTGTTGTACCATATGCTTGTCTGTCATGAAACGTGAATAATTATTTCTTCCTCCTCCCTCCACCGCTGTTTCTTCCAGCATCTTCCCCTGGATACACAGGGCAGTTCAAAACCAGCATACAGGAGCTTACAACATTTGAGGCTTCAATTTATACTTACCTTTCTGCTACCAGCTGACAAATGTGGAGAAACTAAAATCCAGGTGAGGGAAAGAGGCTCTGACCAGAGGACTACACCTCTTCTCCCTGCACCGAAAAGGTTTTATGTAGCGCAGTTCAAGTTGAAACAAGGGTCTGGAGTCTAGCAATGCAAGGGGAAATTCAGATGGGGTGCAGAATTAAGATGGTAGATGAGTCAAAAAAAATCACTGCTTGCTTTGATGTGGTGAAGGGGACAACAAATCTCATTTAGATTTCCAACTCTGAGCTTTTTTACATGGTAAGATAAGAAACACACTGAAAAGCAAACTACTTTCATTTTAAAAGTAACAAACTCTCCCAAAAGATTGACTGATAATTCACAACCTTTTAAAATTATCCACTGGCAGAAGCAGCAGGAGAAATTCCTAATTAGTTTCAGACAAAAACCACAGGTGGAATCTAAAAGGTGTATTCTCTCTTTGTCCTGGAGCGTGATTCTTTCTCCTTAAGCCACACCCCCACTTCTTTGCTTTATTTACTTAGTAGTTATGTATTTAAATAGTCTCCATCCAGAGTTCTTTATTATTTTAATAATAATAAATCTGGCTTGTCCTAGACCAAACAGCAAATCCTTGCTGTCATCCACAGTCACAGAGAAGTTCAAAACCTGGGACCCATGTGAACTTCCAATTGCATTTGTAATTGCCACAGCAGCTCATAGTTTGCTTTTGTCACCAGGGTACACCCTGACACTGCGCTCCAAAGAGAAACGAGTGCCTCAGGAATGGAAAGAAAAGGGGAATATTCTGTCTCGGGTACAGCACTGCTCCATCACAGACCGATTCTTGGCAAGGAACACACAGCACAGTCCCACCAGCCAGCACCACTTCCCCAGCAAGGAACAAACCTGGCTCTTTTCCTGGTGATTCAATTCCCAACATCGTTGGGTTTTTTGTAACACTCTTGTTTTCTGTTCCCTCTGGCAACAAGCAGCACCGTAACACGCAATTTTGGCACACCTCAAGCTCATTTGTCCTGGCTGTTTTCAGTGATGGCGGGTGTCAGGATGTGCTGTGCTACACACCTTTGTTACACCAAGCAAGTGCATTCAGCAAATTTCAGAAGCTATCTACAGTACTGCCTTTTGAAGGTGGCATTAATTATGATGAAAACAGCTCAAGAGCCAACAGCTCAAGATGCAAAACAGCATCACTGTTTCCCTTCTTTAAGAAGCACATGAAATAAATTAACTGTCAAGGTTTTGCAGGCTAGGAGGAAACGTGAGGATCATTTAGCTCGACCCTCTACATAAGAGAGACATAAATTTCAGCAAAGATTCATTCCTCGTGCCAAGAAACTGAAGGCCACACTAGAGCATTTCACACTGAAGAACCTTTAAATTATCATTGCACATACAAGTCCCGGGATCCTAGTTCCCCTGGTGAGCCCTTTCCTTAGCCAACTATCTTCCCAGCTTTTGGAATAACACCAGCTACCTTCCAATCTCTTTCCTCTTGTAATTAAACTCATTTTCCATTCTGTTTCAAAACAAGCAAACCTTAAATATCTATAATCTTTCAAACAAGCAGGGAAAGGATTGTATAAAGAAACAGTCGCAAGAAGCCCAGAGTAGCTTTATATGGGACGAAACAGGCACAAATGCATTATTTTCTTTTTTTGTGCCTACTTTTAAAACTCCCCAAAATCACTCCTTATGCCATCCTAAGAGAAAACTTACTGCAAAACCAGAGTTTCCTCAGTGTTTGGCAGGAATCTACCCTGTAAAAACTTTTTTCCCTTTTAATTGTGAGAGCCAAGATGAACACAACAAAATCTACACTCACTTTTTCTTTCTCTGCTTTGAAACTAGTTTGAACACACATGCAAATTTTCTTTAAAATGAGCAATTAAGTTTAATTAGGAAAGTCAAACAGGCAGGCTTCATTTTCCAGCATGAAATCAAATACCTTGATGCATTTTGAGATCTAGAAGGGAAAAGGATGGTTACACACCTTTCCTGCAGCTGACATGAACTTCGAATTGCTAAGCCCCAAACCCCAAGTCTGTGCCACAACTAGGTCTTCACTGGCTTCATCCCATCCATCCATCCATCCATCCATCCATCCATCCATCCATCCATCCATCCAAGGATCCTTTGCAACTGTGCCACCAGAGAACATCTTGGACTGAGGCGCTCTGACTCTGAGAGGGACTATGTAAGCATAACAGAAGTATCAATGGTTCTTCCATTATGAACAAACACATGCCCACAGACTGCCCAGGCCGAGGAAAGTATGGATATGTCTCAGACTCATCTTAGTATGGAAGACCTCCTCCCTTCTTCAGGCATTTGGCTTCAGCCCAGGAAGACCAGAGGAGATGTTCCTCCAGCACCAGGTTGGAGTCATGTCATGACCCAAAGCTGCACACAACAACTGCCCAGGGTAACATAATCCCGCTATGGTGGTTTTAACCAGTTGAGCACGTAGCCATCCCTCCCACCACCATGAGCAGGTAACAACACCCTGGTTCCTGCATCGACATGCATAGAGAAGCCAGGATTGAGACGAAAACAAGAACACCCTCAAAGCAAACAAACAAAGCAACCAGCTGGGTTTGCACAGCATTCAAGTTTTGCTATCTGATCAAATCTCTCCTCAGGCCTGCTGGGCTGGCAGGGGCTTGGTGGCTGGATGGAGGGCTATGCTCTTTGAGTAAAACGCCCTAAGGCTCAGCTGCAGGCATCAAGCTGCTTAGGAGACAAATACCTGTAGCACAACACATGGCCTACAGCCACAGGGTGTAAGAGCAATGCCAGTGACTACCTCAACCACCTGGCAGGGTTTATGGCTCCGTCAGAGATCCTAGTCATGGATGCCATGTGTTCCCTGACCTCAGTTTCCCTGTCCACTTTCACACAGGCTTTCTAGCACACAGATGCTTTCAGCATAACTCAGAAGCAACCATTACAGTTGGCATAGCCTGATCACACCAGGAGCATGAAACAGCCCCTCCAAGGAGTAGAAAATGCTCCACGCCCCTCAGGATTGATCATCGTAACTCCATGTGGAGGGCAACAGCAGGACATGCTCCTGGATTGGAGCACAGCTGGTCCAAGTCACCCAGCCAAGGCCCTGACACATCAAGAAGACTCCAGCCTCCACTCCCAGCCCTCATAAAGGCAGAAAGGAGACTCCAAACACTGGCAGAGAAGCATACTTGCCCCCAGTACAGACCAAGGGCTCTGCAGGGCTGCTCCTCCACAAGCAGAATGAGGTCCTAGTACGGTAAGTATCCTAGCACTGTATGCTGCTGAGATATATAGTGCTGAGTTTAAGTGCCAGCACCCTTCTGGCCTGCCCCGTGACATCAACTCTGCAGGGGAAGGAATCAGGTTCTAGAGGATTTTCAGCAGGCGTTTCCTAAATGATCACTGCTCAACAGCATCACATCATCCCTGCGGGGCCTCAACACCACCTCATGTGGCAAATACAATCCCAAGCCACAGGCTGATAGGAGACACCACATGAAAGAAAGTTCACAGGGTCAAAGCTAAAGCACATCTCAGTGTTCTCTTTGATTTTAAAAGCAATAAAGCTCATCTGTGTGCTTACTTGCTTGTGGACCTTTTCTTTCCTCTTGACTGAAGCAGGCATGCAGCATCACAGCAGAAAGCCCAGCTTTAGGGAAAACTAAAGCCTCTTGTTCATCTCTTCCCTCTCCTTGAGAAACCTAATTTGTTCACCACTTGGTCAATTTAAAACACTAATTCCCTAGGATAGCCAACTCTAAAAACATGGAAAATTCAGTGTGAGAAGAAAACAGAGGATGGGCCAACTCAACCACAGTGTCAACCTGGAGGTTACTGATGCCTATGCATCAGTGGGGTCAAGCCACGGACCCCAAGAGCAAGTTCTCTTCCAAACACCCAGCCCTTCTCTCAACTTTTAAATCAAGGAGCTGGAGTCAAATCTGTTGTGCAATGCAGTTACACATAACAAAACTGACACACGCAATAAAGCACGTACAGGACACCTGCAGAATGTGGAAGTATCCCTCCCCAGGATGCTCAGACAACAGAATCCATTAGTTGCACGGAAAGAAAATCAATTTTTCTTCCTCCATTTTCTTTTTTTTTTCTTTCCTTTTTTTTTTTTTTTTTTGTGATTCACACAGCTGCAGATACTGAATGCACTCAAAGTATCGGAAGCCTGTTTTTTTAATTGCTTAGCAGAGCTACTTCCTTCCCAGATGGACAGCTCTCCCTTATTCACATTTGTTTTCTAGTGCCTGCTGTTGCCGTGCCTGCAAACCTGACTTCCAGGAGAGAAGTGAGGGGAAGGCTGCCTGAAGCCAGGTGACTCCTGCAGATCATGAGAGTATGTTAGGCAAGATCCAATTACCTGCTTGCAGGCAAGGAGTCCTCCCTGGGAAACTGCAGCTTCAAGAGTTAACCTTGAAAGCAAAAAGACATTAGATGCAAACTGAAAATGAGTATTTCAGAGACCCTTGCTATTAGCACCAAGAGAAGTTGCCCAGTTCCACCTACAAGAGGAGCTCTCAACCCCAGATTTTCTATCCTATTGAACATCAAGGATCTGTGCCAAGACAGAATGAAGCTGAGCTGGGAAACAAAAGCAATCCCAGGCACGGACCTTGTTCTCACTTGAATACTGGGACCCAAGACTGTACCTTACAGCCCTGAAGGACTTTTGCAAGTACACATGGCATTCAAATCAGGACTTGCAAAGATCTGACAGCTTTTCAGAGTAAAAAGGTAAGTGGTTTTTCATCCATGCAGTCACCTCCTATACTCCTGAAAGCCCACCTTTGAACAGAAAAGGAAGCAAAAAAGAATGGGAAGCACCTCTTAGTCAATGAATGCCTGCAGCAAACATCCCCACTGCAAATCGTTAATAGACCACCATGCACACACTCACAGGGCTGTACCTGGACTGCTTTTTTGGTGGTGGTGGCGGTGGTGCAAACTCCACACCATTACTCTTGTCTTTAGGGAAATCAAAGGAGAAGGACGATGATTTGCTGATCCCAGTCTGGCTCTCCAGCATCAGGCTGTCATCCACAAGGTCAGCACCAGCTTTTCCATTCTCAGCTCCCACTGCCCATGGGTGGGTTAAAAGCTCCTGCTCCTCCTCCTGCTCCTCCTCTTCCTCTATCCGGCACTGCTTGGTCCACGCTGGGGTGTAGTATTTCTGCCTCCTGTCATAGGACGAGCCTGCCAAACCTCTGCTGGACTCCTCCACAGAGACCCCATTGACATGAGTGCATGGAGAAGGGGACGCCCCAAAGGCGCCTGTATCACTATAGCTCCTCGGCAGCAGCTGAACACCAGCTCCATCGTGGCTGTTGTCATCACCAAACCTTGCCACATGGGAGCTTGGCGGTGGAACACGGTTCCCCTCGCTGCCCAGCTGGCTGTTTTTGGACATCTTTGGGGGAATGGCTGGACTCTCAGTAACTGAGGTCTTGGAAGGAGCTGTCAGATGAAACCTTGGGCTGTTTTCACTTCCAGATGCTTGAAAAATTTCTCCAGGCTCAATGGCAGGTGATGAAGTCCCAAAATCGGGGTGGGCAATGGGGCTGATACATGGCCACTGAACTCCCACCGCTGAGTCAGGGCTGCTGAGGAATATTGTCTTGTGATCATCCTCAGTGTGTGCTGTCATTATAGTTATCTTTGCAGCCACCTGGCCAGTGGAGTCTTGGTATTCCTTCTCACCACTCAAAGCCCAGCTGCCATCCTTCCACATCCCATCGGCTTGCTCCTTGCCAGTGCTGCGGGCCACCTTCTCCACTTTTGTTTGTCTGCTGACAGCCTTCAGCTGTGCCTTCTTCCTCTTGGTGCTCTCGGCATAGATGGGATCACCGCGGGCTGGCTCTGCAAGGCGAGGGCGCTGTGGCTCCACCAGAGCCTGCTGAGGGGTGCTCGAACCCTCAGGCCAGGGGCCTCCGGTGATAGAGAGCTCTCCAGGGACAGGCAAGTCCTCATCCTCCGGGGACAAAGCAAAGGCAGCCACCTTGCTGCTCCCCGTGCTCTCAGAGAGAGCAGCAGCCTCGGTGTGGAGAGCCAGCTTTTTTCTCTCTGAACACAGGGCGTAGGGGAGAGGATCACCCTGGTCTTTTGTGATGCAGAAGGCCACATTCACAGCTCTGCACTCCTCTTCGCTGAACTTGACCACCCTTCCGCTTGGCCTAGGAATCTCTGGAGTATCCCGCTGCCTCCATCCACAGGGAGCAGGGCTCTCCTTCTTGGCACCCTTCCCCTCTGTGCAGTGCAGCTCCCACGAGACGGGGTGCTCTCTGCAGCAGTCCGTGATTGAACAGTACTCGCCTCCTTCACTTTCAAACCCTGAGGAGACGTGACCACAGTCGCCCTCCGAGGGGAGCGCTGCTCCTTCTCTGGCTTGGGAAGGAGGGTTTCTGCTGGTGATTCTGTCCTCCAAGGTGGAGGGATTAGGGCAGGGGGCCCAATGCGGCAGAGCAAACTTGTCTTTGGCTCTGTCCTCCTGCTTGCCCACCTCACCCACAAGCACCAGGCTGTGGATGGAGACATTTCTCTCCACTCGGCTCTCCAGGCTGCGCAGTCCCACCATGGAGTAGCTAGGAGGACAGCAAGACAAGCAGTCGCTGGGCGGTTTGTGAAGGAAGGGCTTTCTCACACCACCACCGCCAAAATTGTCAAGGCAGATCCGCTGTGCATCTCCTGATTTCAGAAGGAGTTGTTTGCCAGTAACCATGCCCCAGCTAACCTGAAAGGAACCAAAGAGACAAGTGCACTGTCAGGATGTGCATATGTAAAATGAAAGAGAAATTTAAAAGGAAAAAAAAAAAAATAAAAAGCCCAGCTCAACAGAAAAGTCCACTTGCATTCACCATCTGTTTTGCTCTGTGCTCACCCCACCAGTAACTACCACAAACCTTTTGTACTTAAACTACACTCGCCTGATTCCCTGGACCATTTGCAATCCTTGTATTACCAATAACGGCAATGCACTGAAATAAGGCATTCTCCTTTCTCTTTCTATGGGTTCGCTGCCAGAAACATGTCCAACCTGTCATCCTGTCTGTGAACCACCGTGTAATTAAAGATTCAGAGAGGGAAAGAATATTTGCACCTCTGTCTGCTTATTTTCGTTTCATTTCACACTGCTGCTCGGAGTCGCACACTGCGGAGCATAGACACAGACTACCACAGGTTATCCTGGGGTAGCAGCTTGGCTGTGCTCAGCAGCAGGGACTGGGGAGCAGGCGGGGAAATGCATAAAAAAATCTCTTCATCTGAAGGAGATCCTTCCTGCTTGCCAAGGGAGGAGTGGGAGAGGCAGAGGGTGACATGTGCCTGCAAAGCGACCCCCTGTCCCAGGGTGGTAGAACCTGCTCCCATAGTGCAAAATTCAGCCTGGGGTCAAATCTGTGTACACTGATCAAACCCCACAGACAATGCAGACACAGCCTGCTCTCCTGTGCCCTTTACCCCTGGAAGAGAAGTGAGGGAGAGCAACAGGAGGCTAAAAAGAGAGCTGACAAGCCCTGACCGTCCTCTGGGATGAGAGTGGGAGAGAGGAGCACACCTATGCCACGGGCAGGGTGACAGCAGCCAGTGCTTCACTCTGCATGGCTGGGGCAGTGCTGATACCAACTGGTCAGGGAGAGGAGTGAACCACCCATCCTGATGGCAACTCAAACAACTGGGGCTTTCAACCCACAGTTTGCAAACAGGCAGCAGTGCTACACCCAGAGGGCATTACTGCTCTGGCAAAGGTTGGGAACCCAAGGACCTGGGCTAGGAAACTAAGGCACTTTCTTCCTCACCCACAAAGACCATGGATCCAGTTAGGACTGACTGCAACCAGACAGGACTTCTTTTCAGTATATCTTACCAGGAAAATAACTTTAACCCACATCCTCATGTAAAATCCGGAAGTTCCTAAACAAACAACTTATTTTTAAGCTCTTTGGAACATGCCTTCTGAGTAACAGCTCATTCAGCTTCAGCCAAAGATACTTTGAGAAGCCAATATACGGCTTAAAAACCCGAATGAAGACCAGAAGGAAAAACAAAGGGAAGGAAACCATTTTAACAGATATTCCTAGCACTCCTGAGGAGAGGTAAGTAATGGGAAGTCATGCTTTGACTGGATTAATCATTACCTGTGACAGATCTGCATTCATATTCACATCCGCCCACGTGTCAGAAACATCTGAGTTTATCATAGTTGGCCTCACAGCAATTGTTGGCTTTGAGAAAGGGGAAGTATTTACAACTTCATCTTCCAATGCGGGGCTCTCGGGCTTGGTCCTAACTCCATTCGGGAGCACACTACAAGCTCCCACGTCTGGGGGTGTTTGCAGCTGATGAGAAGTCTTTGGGTTGAAGCAGTTTTTGCAGGAGCCGGGCTTCCAAATGTGTTCCACAAAGTCACTGCACACAGACATCTTCAAATCCTCGTGGCTCAGACTGAGAGCCCTCTGCGTCTTCTGCACTGTCCTCCGCTGCTCATTTTGCATTTGCTCCTCAAAGCCACTCCTAAAGATCACATAGGTATCTGGAAAAGCACAACACTGTCTGATTAGTTTGGGTATGCCCCCAAATGGAAAGATTTTTAATAGGACAGGTGATAATTACACTTTGCCTTCATCACAAAGGCTTATTGTTTACAAGGGGGTTTTTTTCACAGCTTAGTTAAAGCCCACACAATCACTTAAAAAGCTTCAACTTCTAAGCATAGCTCTGTAACAGAGAAGACATCAAGCAAGCAGCATTCCTATGTGATTTAATTCCTTGTTTAATGAGCATGTATAACCAGCCTCATGCAAGGTTTAGATCAAGGGTAAAGGAAAGAGGTCTTGGAAATAGCTGTTCACAGCTCCACAAGCAGAGCCAGACAGGAAAAATTCCTTCTCCAAAGTGGCATCCTCTCTCTGGAAAATAAAAAGGCCTGGAGATACAGGGACTAGAATCGGTGACTGTGTAACCAAGGGGACCAGCAACAACCTTCCTTCAGCCAGAAGCACTACTGTGATGACTGCTGTAGTACACAAAGGCTTCTCTCCCACCCAATGCAACAGAGAAAGGCAATCAGCAAGGCTGGGGCTGGCACCGATTTGAGCAAGTGCCTGGCAGAAAGCTCTTATCTGGTTTGCCAGGAGTCACAAATAAGAGCGTCAGCTCGCTGAAACGATTCATTGTCTGTAAGGGGAGAAACGTTTTGCTCTTGGATTACTTACAGACAAGGATCCCTTCCCATCTTCCTTCCCCAGGAGGAAATGCCCCAGGAACAAGACATTCCTGCATTCCTGTGCCCCCCCTCTCCGCATGGCCAGGTCTGATTGCTCTCAGCCAGTAGCTACCTGGAGCTAACAACTTTGGAGATACTTCAGACGAGGACTCCCACAAAGCTGAGTGGATTAGGGAAGAGATCAGAAAACTAGATGAGGCAAATTGCAGCCGGCTGCTATGGGTGTCGGGGCACACAACTCCACAGGGTCTTTCCCCATCTAACCAACTTCAGGGCATCATCTCCCTGCCAGCTGACCCCAATAGAAACTGAGGATCCTTCCTTGAGGGTCTTGGAGTGAACAGGCACTTTTACACCTCAATCCTGATGGCACAAGAGAACAATTTACCAGCATTCTTCCACACGGGCATACTGCAACACCACCATAGCTATGGACACTCTTGCACCTGCATGGGCCTCTAAACCAGCCTGCGCTCCAGTAAAGCCTCTGGGCTCAGAGATGCCCCAGCCAGTCTCTCCACCAGCCACCTTACCGCATAGTGAAAAGAAAAAATACTATTAAGAGCCTGGGTGGGACAAAGCAAAGTGGGTGAGAGCCACTGACCCACAAGCATCTTCTGAATTCAAATGCTATTTTGGGAGGTTTTCACCAGCTAAAACATTAATACCTGCATACCTGTTCTGTCTGGCAGGCTGATAAATTAGGGTCTGTTTTGTGAAAGAGCAGAAAAAAAGGGCAATGTCAATGGCATTCACAAATCAGAATGGTATATGTCTCTCTTTTCAGGGAAGAGACTGTTTTAGACAGGTTTTTCCATGGACTTCACAGAGTCCAAATTAACTGAAGGACAACAAATCACTCGTGGACATACCCCAATACCTTCAACGAGGTTAACATTGTTTTCAAGAAAAATATCTTTAAAAAAAAATTATTCTTTGTTTCCAGTCAGATCTAGCAAGCAGCGCCCGGCAGCACCCAAAGTTTGCGTTCCGATGAGAGCCAGCAAAGAAAGAAGGAAAATCAAAGGGAGGAAACCAGGGACCAGAGCCAGAAAAAACTCTTCGCTTCGGTTTAATAACCGGCGCTGCCAACTGCCTTTTAAAGACCGGGATTTCCCTATCTGCCGCCGAGGCAGCCGCTCTTTCCCGCTGCCCAGACTCCAGGACGGGCGGCCCCGCGTCCGCCCCCAGCCCCGGGCCTGCGCCCA